TGCCAGCAGCCATGGTGGAAGGTGATGAAAAGGGTCTGTGCGTTTCAGGATGGACTGGTTAAAGGGCAGCATTAAAGGTGGGACAAATGTTGTCCCCACTGCACAAAGAAAAGCTGTAATGAAACTGAAGTGCTGTGGTTGCTGTATATTTCAAAAGGAAACTTATGCTTTAACTGTGTGCCAAAACTGCTGGGAGCTTAAAGGGGACGAAGGGAGGATAAAGAAATCACCATGTGCTCTCCAGTTCCCTTCATTACTCCATTTCAGGTTGGATACTAGGCAAAATTTCCTCTCTGAATGAATGGTGGTGCATTGGCACAGGCTGCGCAGGGAGTGGTGGAGTCCCCATCCCCGGAGGTGTTCCAGACCCACACAGGTTTGGCACTGAGGGGCATGTTCAGTGGGCATGGTGTTGAGTTGGGGTTGGGCTTAGGGATCTTAGAGGTCTTTTCCAGCCTTATAATGAGTCTATGACTACTGCTCTGCTGACTTCTGCCAAGAGAGCAATTGCTGAAATCCCTGTGTGGAGGTCCTCACCAGTGGAGCAGAATTGCTTCTGCCATGAGCGCGCAGCAAGAAAGCATCCTGCACTGTACAAACTGAGGGTTAGGAGAGCAGCCTCCTTGAAAGCCTTCACGTGTTTTCATGTGAATTCCAGGCTCCTGGGCTCAGGAAAGTGTCAAACTTGCATTGGATATCGGAGCTCCATCAGCTCTGCCTATGATGTGCTGCTGTGGCTGATGCCCATGCACAATCCCCATCCAGCCCACCAACCCTAAGCATCTTTGTATGTAGGAAAGATTTTCAGATCACCTCCAAGGAGCGCTGTCTGTTTTTAGCACTCATGAACACTCTCAGCTGCAAAGAACTGAAACCTCTGGTGGTGAATGCAGCACGGGGCTGCTGGCAGCTGCTCAAAGGCTCTCACTGGAGCATGGCACAAAGGAAGTGGCTTTTCCCTGGGTCCTCACATAGCAGGAAGAGTCCAAAGTGCCACAGCAGGATGCCACCAGTCTGGGAACGCTGCGGTGGTGAGGGATGGTGCAAAGGCTGTGGGGCACAGTGGGATTTGCTCATCCACATCTTACAAACGCAAAACCTGTTTTGCATGAGCAGGCGTTGATTAAGGATTTGCAAACAACGGCCTTCCTTAACGCTTCCTTAAGCAAGTTCTGGATCAAACTGAAAATCACCATTGTTCTCACTCCATGTTTGCATCCTCGTGTGTTCCTCCTGCTTTTCCTTGGGGCTCTTAAGGCCATGGCATCCCTCCAATGCTGATAGCTTCAGACTGAGTGTGGGCTCAGATTCACGCTGCCATTCCGCAGAGCTGTCAGGGATGGAGAAACACTGAGTGAGCACTGAGAACGGCTTCAGGGCAACAGAGACAAAACAGCTTTGGAAATGCTGGAGGAGATCAAATCCTGTCCTTTGGTGAATACTAAAATCACGGTGTGAAGGAAAGCTCTTGCTTCTGACTGGGATTTGTGATTTGAGCCCTTTGGGAAACAGCCTGCTTGCACCCTCTGATCCACGCTGCACCCTGGGAGCAGCCATCAGCTGCCTGGGAGCCACCCCAAGCTTGGCTCCTGCAGTGCTGCACACTAACCTGGGAAATCCTTTGCGGTGCCCATCCCCATCACCTGAAGCACTTTGCATTTTGCTGCTCCTCACTGCACCCTATGCTGCACCCTATGCTGGGGACAGCCTGTGTCTGTCCCCTGGATTGGCCAAAGCTCAGCAAAGCTACAAGCATGGGTGGGAGGGAGCAGAGGCAGATCTGTGGGCTGGGAGCCGGAGCTGCCTGCAGGAATGAACTGGAGTTGGTGGGAGGGGGAGGAGAAATCTGGGTGTCAGCAAACAAACGAGGAGGACTGGGAGCTGAGATGTGCTCATGGTTGCACTTGGGATGTGATCAGTGTTTCCTTGTGACTTATGCAATCTGCTGGGGCCTGAGTGGTAAGGAAAAACAAAATTAAAACCAGTGGGAATGGAGCTGCTGCCTCCCCTCGTGCTGCAGGGAGCTGCCAAGGAGGGAGGAGCCTCTCTCCTGGATCCCTGCAGGCAAACCCAGGAGGGGGTTTGCTCCCCAGATTTTATAGGCAGAGCTGTGTCTGCAGCGCCTGCCCATGCTGGGCATGCTGCAGGAAGGGCAACAGGACGAGCAGGGCATCAGGGCACTGTCAGGCACATGGGCACATCCCTCCAGTGGCGATCTCTGAGTGCCACTGGTACATCTGCCTGGAGAAGGAGAGGCTCAGTCCAACTGAGCCACAAAATTGCTTTCACGCTGCTGTTTCCAGGCTTGGAGGTGTGCAGTCAGCCTTGATGCAGGCTGAGAATTTTAATTTGCTTTTTCCTTCCAGCCAGAAGAGATCAGTCACAGGCATAGATGGTGATGATGGATGCAGGCGGTGCCATCACCTCTGACTCCTCTTCCTCCTATTCCCGTTCCCTGCAGAAGATGGCCCATCTGGTCCCCTGCTCTACCACCCGTTTCTTCTCTTCGTCCCATTTCTCCTCTAGATGGTGCAGCTGCCACAAAGCACCGCTGATGCACTGGGATGCAGCCCGGACCTCGGCCCTGCAGCAGGCTGTGGGGCTGCCCTTATCTCCCAGCCACTGCTTCAAGGTCCCCTCTGATCCACAGTGGGTGCTGTGAGGTTCAGCCCTGCTCACATTAGGGTCTGTATCAGGTACCTGTGAGGCACCATCACTCTGCTGTGGAGGCAAAGCAATTTGAGAAGTGTGTCTGCTGCTGTTCCTGGTGTGTCTGTCCCATCGGAGAGCCAACCTGAAGGTAGCAGGGGGATGCACACAGATGCTCTGCTCCTCCATGGCCACCACAGCACAGATGCAGCAGCTCAGGGCACTGAGGGCTGTGTGGTGCAGTGGGAGAAGCCCCTGCTGCAGAGCTGCTTGGCTGTTTGACCCCCAGAAGTGAGGGGCATCGTGGGTCCCTTTCTCACTGCAACATCCCCATTTGTTTAGGCTGAAACCAAATAAATACAAGCTTAACGATTTGGGAGAAACAACAGGAGACTTTCCAGCTTAAAGACAGGTTTTCTCCCATTAAGTTTTGCTAGCAAATCTTTATAGCCTGTATTTTAAATAAATGTTATGGGTGCATTTGAAAACACACCATATGTTCTCCTGCAGATCTTTCTGGAGCTGTTATCACACGGCCCTCGGTTGGGTGCATCCCCCCATCAGCAGTGTTCTGCTGAATGCCCACAGGGCCGGGTCTCTGCTCAGAGGGGCTGCATGTAGGAACATCTCAGCTCCTATCTCACTGGTGCTGGAGCCTCTGCTGTGAGTTTGGTTCAGCACAGGGGACAGAATAAACTCTTACTGAAGATCAGCAGAGCTCATCAGCTAACACTGGGGGACGTGGCCCCACATCCCTGGCGTTCTTCCCTTACCAGGAGCATCCCTTGTATTTTTTTGTTTGAAAAACACTTCAAAACCCAACCGGAAGGAGAGGTGGGGAGAACGAAAAGCCCCAGGACAGCACCTTAATTCTTAATTCTCCCAGATCGCTGTAGATGGCAGTCCAGCCCCGCGCCGCGCAGCGCCCAGCCCAGCCCCACTCGCTAATGAACCTTAATGCATGCTGGCAAGGAGTCAAGGGATGAGCTCTGACTAAGTTTACAGCAGATTTTCCCTTCTGACAGATTACTGCTTCATTTGTAAGAAGAGAACTTCTCATTAAGTACATTTTTGACATTTTGTTGAGATGGGGAAAAAAAATCCACGCGTTGCCAAGCGTGCTGGAGCGCGAGCGAGGCTGAGCCTCCGCAGGTTTGGGTGCTGCTTTCAATTTTTTACCTTGGCACCCAAATCCCCTGTCATAATTATTCTGCTCCGAGCACAATTGCTGCAGGGGGGGATGCACGATTAAAACCAGCAGGATTTCGTGGTGGAGAAGCGGCCGCTCTGCGTTCCAGCAGTGCTCAGATTCCAACACTAATCCAATAAGTGTTGATTAAAGTGTATTTTCAAGGCAGAACTGAGTCTGCCCGCTGTTACTGCTGCTCTCAGTGCTGTGCTGGTCTCTGGGCTGGCTCTGCAGAACCGGATCTCGGTGCTGGGGACCCAGACACATCCCAAAGCTGGGATCTGAGGGGTCTGGCTGGCATTGCCAAACTCTCAGTTCTCCTAATCAGTATGGCAGAGGAAAGACTAATTTTGGATGCTAATAGTTCAAATTAGTTGATGGGAATCTTCAGAGTGAGGTTGTTCCCTCCCTGCTTTGTAAAAAATGACAATTTCCATGGCTGGCAGAGGATGGAGAACAGTCCTTTTGGAAAACACTTCTACACATGCAAACCTTTCTGTCCCCTGGGCTTCTTTCAAGATGCAGAGCGAGGCTGTTATCAGAAGCTCCTGGACATTTTCATTGATCCACTCCATACTCTTAGAGAGAGAAAGTATGAAAAGCATTGCATGAGGTATTTTAATTGCAAAAAATGTTGCCAGCACCTTGCAACAGGCAAACGCCTCACAACAAACACAGCATTTCACTCATTTTCCCTCAGAAAACAGTTTGTTTTTTTCTCGTTAAGCCAAGTGCTAAAACAGTCCGTTCTTCAGGGGATGGGATGCATGATGTGGGCTGGGACAGGTAACGTGGGATACGGAATGGGATGGGAAAGGTGACATGGGATATGTGAATGGGAGGTGTGACACGGGGTGGAAGAGGTTGCATTGGCCACAGGGAATGGGCACCTTGTTTCTCCCACAGGTCTGCTCCATTTTAGCAAAGTTGATGAAATCCTTCTGCCTCCCTTAGTAAATGACAAGAAAATCAAATTGTGATGTCTTTTATCCATGACGGCTTGAAGTGCTGCTGCTGACTTGTTTCAGGGAAGGAATCTTGCAGACAGAGACAATCCTATTGACATTTCACCTTGAAAGATGGTGAGAGGGCTGAGTGCCAAAGGCACACGCAAGAATCTGCTGTAAGCCATGGATTTCCCAGACCCGGTCACCTCCTCACCTGCCAACACAGTGTTGTCATGATACAGATCAGGGTGTGTGTGGGAGATACAGAGCATTTGGGGGTTTTTGCAGTGAGGGAGGGATGCTCCATGCAGCCTGGCTCCCAGCACCCCCTGTTCCATTGCATTTGCTGGGATGGTGGGAGAAGTTATTCTGAAAGACTGCCGTGACTTTCACAGTGCAGATCTGCCAAATGGTGCCTTGAGAAAAGAGAGGGAGCGCGCTGTGATGCTGCATGCATTGCTGCAGGGATACATCTGATGCTGCATTTCACAGCAGGGGGAGAGGCAGCTTTGAGCTCGGACCCCACAAGTGCCCACGCTGCCACTGATGCCCTGTGCCATCAGACGTTCCCTTTCATGGTGGTGCCTGCTCTCAAATGGATTCGGCTGTTGTGTGCGAACCGCTTCTACCAGGTTTACCATTTCTGCTATTTGGACACAAAGCAAAACAAAATAATTAAAATAAAATCCCATTCCCAGTCAGAGTGTAGCTCAGGTCAGGTTTATGCAGGAATTATTTCCATTCTCTTTTCACAGCTTTTATTTCAGGGTCAGTTCCCCTCTACAACGCGCCCATACTGGGGACAGGAGCAGAAGCACCACGATGCTCTTCTCCCATTTTTGCTCCCTATTAACTCTTCCATTTGTCTCAGCAGCTGCATGCATGAGATCCCCTCACCCAGGCAGGCTGTGGAGGACGCTGCCATTCCCCAGACCTACAGAACCCCAAGGGAGGAGATGGGGACATTGAATCTCAGCAGAACACGTGGCAGCAAGAGGCTGAATGAATGCAGGAGAACCCTACGACCCTTCGGGGTCCTTTGGGCTGCCTGGTGCCCAATCCCCAAAATGCTTCAAGGGAGCCTTTACCAAGAGATTTAGGGGTGATTTAGATTGGATATAAGGAAAAAGTTTGTCATGATAAAGTTGGTGGATGCCCCATCCTTGGAGGCACCCAAGGCCTGAGCGCCCTGATGGAGACGTAGGCATCATTGCAGGGAATTGGACCAGATGACCACTAAAGATCCCTTCCTATTCAAACAGTGCAGTGATTCTGTGATTAGAGCCACCTGCAGCCCTAAGGACACCACAGCTCATTAAGAGACACTGAGGAACTTGGTCCAAACTCCAATGGCATTGCAATAGTTTTATGGAGAGTTAGCTCAGTTTTTCTCCCCGCCCTCTTGTGCCAGGATGATGTGCCATCATGAGACGCCACAAAATCATTTCCATAAGACTTAAAAAAAGAAAAAAAAAAAAAAAAAAAGCTTTTGTTCATCACTGTGCTTTGTGCCAATAGCCCATGCTCTTTAAAGAGAGAGCGTGGCCAGGGCTGTTCCCACTTCCATCTTGCAGAATAAAGGATCTCTTTGCACTCTGGTAATAACCTCTTTCATCTGACGCCCTCAAAGTGCTTTTGGACATAAATTAATTAAGCCTCACAACACCCTGTTGAGTTCAAACTCACTCAAGGGTTTTCATCATGCGTTCAAACAATCCGTCGCATCTTCACGTTGGCAGTCTATGGCAGCCCAAGGGTCACATCCAGCTGGGGTGGGAGCAGGCTCTGCTCCGCTGTTTGTCCCATGTCCCTGCTCCTGCCCAGGGCTCAGGTGGCCCTCAGGGTTAATGGCCCTTCTATGGAGCCTCGTCACAAAGCATCTCACAGCCCTGAGAGCACCCACACACTGCTGTTCAGCCTCACCCCGCCTGTCAGCAAGTACTGAGGTACCCCTGGATGTGGGATACCTCATCCAGGTATATTTTTTTTTCCATATTTTGTCATTTTGGGATGTATGATCCTCCATATGCCCCTTTGGCATTACCAAGGCTGCGTCCAGCAGGGCCCCATCTGATGCAGAGAGACTCCTTCTGATCTCAGTTATCCCACTGCAGGTTCCCAACTGGAGACGCTTCCAAAAGGCAGCTCAGGGGCTGAACCCAGATTGTGGGGATCTGCCCTTTGCAGGTGCCCCCCTGCTACATCTCTTCTTCTTCTTTCCATATCCTATATATTTTAGAGGCATGTTTTAGTGGGCATGGTGGTGACAGGTCAGCAGTTGGGCTCGATGATCTCAGTAGTCTTTTCCAACCTTAATGGTTGTATGATTCCATATGAGGAAAAAAGAGAGCAGACTGGATCAGCTAAAGCATGCAGGAAAAACCCCAGCAGAGGGGCTGCAGGAAGCGAGGATGTGGGGCTGTGCCACACGATCTCTCCTCTCCTCCTCCAGTGCTTTCACTAGGTTTTGTTTTTTTGTCTCCCCTGACTGAGGAAAAATGCTTTTCAGAAGGGGAATGCGCAACGACAAATAACTGAAGGTGGTAATTAACGGCACAGCCAAGCACCGTGTAAAATAAAAGGAATACTAAAGGAAAAGTGCCACTTGCAGTTGTGTGATTTAATTAGGTCTGCTTTTTTGCATAGGCAGGCAGAGCCCACAGGCACGGGACTTTCTGGTGCTGCTAAAAATACGAGGGAGGTGGCAGAAGGCTCTGCAGTCATTTCCCAAGGAAAACTGCACAACTGCCAAACATTAAAAGGCAGAAATTAGCAAAAGGCCCTTTTTCATGATTCCCCCCCCCCGAGAACAGAAGAGCTTCTTGAAGCAGAAACCTTCAATAATTAAAAGCAAAAAGAGAAAAAATAAGAACTGTTGGTATGGAAAGTATATGAAAACAGATCGTTGCTCTGAGCTGCCACCTGCGCCCATTGCACCGCTGCTGGTTGGAACCTCCCTGGCAAAGAGGCCACCAAGGGCAGGGCAGAGCCTGGCCAGGGTGAGAGGGGTCTTTTGGTGACCACAGCTCCAATGGGAGCACCGTGGACGCTATAAATCCTTCCCCTCCTCAGAGGAGGGAGCGCACACATAAATATGTAGATTCAGGCTCCAGTCCTCATGACTTATTCACCAGCAGCATCATATTGTTTCTAACTTCGGAGCAGTTCCTGGAAACTGTACGTTCTTCAAATTAAAAAAAGATAGATGGCTGTGCTGGAGGAGCCCTAATGCTATCAAGAAAATGCTCCGCTTGCTGAGCTCGGGGTGCTCCGTGCCATCAGCACTGCCCTCCCCCAAAGCCCCACTGCAAGCAAAGAGCAGAAATCTGCTCCCAGAGGGTGGGAGTGGATGGGCTGATGGGCGAGCGCTGCCTGCCGGCTCTGTGGCCATTTCCTGCTAAATGAGCAGCCCTGAGAAAGCTTAACTACAGCAATTGTTGTACATAAAAAATATCATGCTTAATAGACTCCATCAAGTAAGTATTGTCCTAAATGGTTGGGAGCAAGGAGGGGTGGAGGCAGCAGCGATGCGGACGTGCCATTTGCAGAGAAATTATGCCTTGTCGGGATTTGTTGGAGAGCTCAAATTGCTGTTAATAAAACCTGCTTTTGCTGGTGCAAGGGAAATTGGTTTTTGCCGAGTCTGGAGGGATCCAAGCAGAATATCCTGGGTACCATTTCCTGCACAGCAGGGATGAGCGCTCCTCTATTCTCACATCACTCCTGTTAGCAGCACTGGGATGGTTCTCTGCCATTGAGGGGTGCAGAAGGGAGAGGCCTCTTCTGGATTAACCCCTACTGACATAACCCCTTATAATGTACATTTACGTGTTGTAAACTTTGCTCCATCCATCAGGAAAACCCTTCATCCACAGCCCCCATTGAGCCCATTCTGCCCTACTCTCCTCATCGTCTGCCTGCTCTACGGCTGCGCTGCTTTCACCTGCCACCACCCCATGTTTCAGAGCACAAATAAAGCAGCCAGCCCGTAATTCCTTTGCTGCGCTTGTCTTATTTCCCTTGCCTAACTGCACGCCTGGTGCATTCAGAGGAGCGGGTGCTACAGAAAATGCTGCAATTTGATTTGGGAGTCATTCTGCACAGAGGAACCGCCGAGGAGGAGATGGCTGGCATCAATAAATTACGACACATTGGGAATTTCACAGCTCTTCGTAGAGCATCACGCAGTGTGGGGCGGGCATCACTCACCCCCAGCCTGTCTGCAGCGGGCATGGAGACACCCGAGATGGGGAATTAATATTTATTCAGTTTGTTTGCCTAAGAGGCAAACATTTGCCTGATGTATTCTTGGCAAATGGAGGACATTCATTACCGGGTACCAGCACACTGGAGTGCCTGTAATCCACTCCACGCCTCGGTGAGTCCCTGCTCTCATATCTGCTAATCCAATGTTTGGAAGACAGCCTGCACCAGGAGCATCGTGCAGCCAGAGGCAGAGATTCTAGATGATGCCCTGGCATAGGATGCTCTGTGCCGGCAATGGGCACCCACCTTCGCAGCTTGTACCAGGGGTTTGGGGCCCCCAGCGCCCAATGCATCACCCTCCCACAGTGGCAGAGATCAGGAGGTGGCTAGAAAATTTCAGAGCAGACAAATATTCCCCTTCCCATCCCCTCCTCACGCAGATTGAAACAGAGATTGAAGTCACTCTGCAGAGCTGAGCTGCCCTCACCACCGCTGCCAGCATAGCAATGACTGGGAGAGATAATTAGTCGAGCATCTCCAACCTTGAGAATTAATTGAACCCCTCCAACCTAACAATTAACCGAGCCCCTCCAGTGCCGATAATTACTTAAACCCCTCCAACCCTAATAATTAACCTAGCCCTTCCAACCCCGTGCTTAAGGCCAGCATGCCCCAATGCAGCGTCTTTGCATGGAGGGCACAGGGAGGCTTTGGCCTCTGCCCCACAAGGATCTCCCTGCACCAGCTCCTTCCAGACAGCCCCCAAACAGCTGTACATTTGGGATGGGATGAGAGCATCCCTCCTGCAGCCGGAGCAATATCGGCCAGGTGCCCAGGAGGTGGTGGGGCATTTTGCTCTGTGCCTATTCCTGTTTGGCTAGAGCCAGCAGCATCTTCATTTCCTGCTCTCCCAGGCTTTCCTGGGGCTGCCGTCCCCTCTCAACCTGCAAGGGCTTTCAGCATTTTGCTTCACTTTTTATGGCTTTGATCCCATAACGTGCTGTTATGCAACAAGACAGGCTTTTTCCCGTCATTTCCTTGGCTTCAGCCAGGCCTTTTGCTGTAATAGGCACAGCCCTGCCTTGAAATATTAACAAGTTTTACCTTAATTACCTTTTGGGATTCTCAAGACTCTCTTCATTTCCCTTCTCACTCTCTAATTCCAGCAACAAGCAGAGGGGCTGACCTCCCCTCCCACCATGGACCATCCTCAAAGGGGTGGCACCATATTTTTTGGGGGTACTTCTTTCCTCACAATAAATCATTTTCCCTCAGAAATTTAGTTGCAAAAAAGACTGTTTTCCTGGTGTTTTGGACAAATTGCCCTCGTTTCATGCTCCTGGCCCAAGAGGTTCTTTATCCTGTGATGCTGCACACAGTGTGGGGATGGGGCTGGGGTCCCAAGCTTGTGGGGCTGTGCCCAGGACCCTGCTGGTGTTGCAGGCAGTGGGAGCAGCTGCCTCAGCCTGCTTTGACTCAGAAAAATGCACAGATCAATACGTTCAGCATTAGATTTTTCCTTTGCTCTGTGCCTTACATGACTTCCTCAATAGGAGCTTCTGTCAGGGTGATGTAAGCCTGCCCGGGAACAACAGCACTGAGAGCTACAAACAGCTGTGCTCAGAAGGACCCAATCTGCAAGGGGAGAGGACAGAGAAACCCCAATCCCCCAAATCCCTCCAGGAACAACAGCATCACCACGGTTTGCAACACACTGCAATCAGACCACCAGAACACAGCCATGAATCAAACATCCCCCTGCAGCTCCTGAACAATTGTGTCCCAAAGCCATGGGGTGGGAAGTCAGGAAGGATTCCTCTTAGATCAAGGTAACTTTTGTTGGAGGAAAAGACATCAGGGCCAGGTGATGTGCTGGGGATATGCATAGGGTCCATCAGCCTCAAGGGTCTCCATTGGCCCCATTGGACAAAGAACCCCCAAAGCAGTTCAAACATCAACTGCCAGGTCTGGGGAGAGGTAACAGCCATCACTGCTGCACCTCTTCCCCATCTCTCCAGCTTCAAAGCTGCTTTTTCCCTGGCAAGTTTTGCAGCGAACAAATGGGCAGCATCTGAGAGCATGCTGCCTGCATGCTTCATTAATTACTCAAGTTATAGGGCTATTACAGCCAAGAAATTTCATTATTAAAAAGAAATCTCCACAGACACTTCAAATGCGTCAACCTTTTCAATAGCTGACACTGGGTCATAATTAAACGTAAAAAGTATGGGCCAGAAGGGGACAAAAAATGGCAGATTTCCTGAATATGGCTAATGGAAACATTATTAACATTAGGAAATTGCATACGAGAAATCACTGGCTCCTGGCCCGGTTTAAATATGCATAAGGCTCCTGACGTGTGCCGATGGTGATTAATTGCGTTAACAAAAAATAAATTAAATTCATCAGGCCACCTTTAACAGCTATATCTGTGTGGGGATCACAGGCTGATAGGGTCTTTGGTGCCCTTCATCATGCCATGTCCCTCCTCTGCCCCCCGGCTCTGGTGATGCCATCACTGTGCTGCCCTCGGCCCCAGGCTGGTGGGTTTGTCACCACTTTGCTCCTCTTTTCTTCCACCTCTTGCATTTTTACATTCTTGCTCTATGAATGTCGCCGTGCATCCATCTGGCGTCAGGCCTATTCTCCACCTAATATTTCTCAATAATTTATTATCAGTGGTTCAATCCTCGTGGGAGCTCCCTCCGCATTAGCAGCCTGTTGTTCAGTCCGGTCATGTCCTGAGCTGGAAGCACTTCCAGCCCTTTGATTTGTTTGTGTTTTATGCTTTTGTTGGGAGAGCAGTCAAAGATATGATTTTTTTCCCCTCTCTTGAAATTGATTTATCTCGGTTGTTCCCTTTATTCTCTCCAATTGAACCATAACTTCCTGGCTCCTCTCGTCCTCCCTCGATAGCAGCCCTGTTGCATATGGATGCAGAGGGATGCTGACAGGGAGAGGAGCACAGGCACATATGCTGGCTCTGCCTCTGGGGACTGTGCTCAGGTGTCACCCAGCTGTCACCTGGCCCCCAGCTTCCCCCATCTCCAATGTTGCTGCACCTCCTTGCCTGCCTTGCTGATGGATGCAGCCTCTCTCACTCTTTCCAACCCAAATTTAATTTCAGAAACCTCAGAAAGGAGCTTCAGATTGGAGCTCCCGATGGTTAGGGCGAGCTTATACGTGCCTCTGCAAAGAGACTTTTCTTTTGAGACAAACACATCACTGCCATTGCTGCAGTTGGGCCGAGGTAGGACCTCAGTGCTCACCTCACTTTTCCCAATTCCAGATGGAGTTAGGATGATTTGCAATGATGATCTTAGTGGCCTCTTCCACACTTCATGATTCTGTGATTACCACAACAGAGCTAAGCAGCGATGCTGCCAAGTGTTTCTGCAAGACCTAATTAAAACCAGTCATGGAGAATGACATTAATCAGTATTACTACCCTAGGAGGAATTAAGGTGGACACATTCTCTGTCCTGTTCACCTTACAGCTTTGAATCCTACTTGCTTTAAGCAGGGTAACATAATGGCAGGTGCCATCACAGCAAAGCCTGTGGCTACAACAAATGAGGACAAGTCCAAATGCAGCAGCCACAGATGCAGAAGCCAAGAAAGAAAATTTGCTTACCTTTAAAAAGTATTAAGGAGGCAGAGATCAGCAGCGAGATACCCTCACCTCCACTGCTAACCCTTAAATGAGGTCTGGGCAGGGGTGGATCCTGGCTCCAGCCCTTCTGGTCACTCAGGGCATTGAATACACCTGAGCTGCCCTGGGTTGGCCCTGCCTTCCCACCAGGTGCTCAATCACTTCTTCAAGCCCTGCCTTTCCATTTCCACTACATTGCCTTTCTACCTGCCCTCCATTCCCTGCCCACTCCTATTTACCTTCCCACTCCAAAAAGGGCCATTTCCAGGCTCCAAGAAGGAGAATTGTTCACCCCCATACAAAAGCAGAGCCAAAACTGTGGGGTGGTCTTTGACAGTTCCAACCCACAGCTGCTGACACACCGTGGTTATCAAATGGAGAAGCAGCACAGGCACAGAATGGACGGTGCACCAGCAGGGGATGCAGTGCCATCCCTGGTTTGTCACACACTCTGTCACGCTGGTGTTGGTGCAGAGGCCACAGGGAGGGGGAAATGAAAAAGCAGCCAAAAGAACTCAGAAAAACTTCCTCTCGTGGGGCAGCAACTCACCCCTTGTGCCTCTGCGCCCCAGGGATGCGTGCGCCAACCGAGCAGCTCAAACCAGAAACAGGGGCAGCTGGCTGGAGATTTCCGTATGAAATATTGAGATCCTGAGACCTTCCAAGTGGAAGGCAGAGCTGATGCGGCTCCTGAATAAATCATTGGAGCTGACACATGTGCTTCCTCACCGTGACGTCTTCGAGGGGAGAGTGCATGTGTGCGTGGGGACTGGGAAAGAGGAAAAATAAAGCAATAAAACAAAATAGAGGGCACTTGTTCCCCTAAGAGCTTTTGTTAGGGAAATAATTAGCTCATCTCAGCCTCCCGTAATGTGTCAGCCTAAATCTGTTGGCTCGTTTGTCTCTCATCAGCTTCCTATCCATCGTCCTCCTTCGCTGTGTGGAGGAGCGTGCCTTGGCAGGGAGGGGCCCTGGGGGAACATTGCATGGCTCTGTGCAAGTGGGGGTCGGTGTGGGGAGGTCCTGGGACTGTGGAGCTGCCCAGAACTGGGGCAGATCCAGAGAGATGCAACAGCGCTTGGTTGAAGGGATGCTTTGAGGTTTGTTCAGTGGACGGTGAGCCTTAAGACTCACTGCCTTCCAGCAGTTGTGGCAGAAGTGAGTATTTCGTTGCAGAATGGAGAAAACTGCCCGGCTGTTGATATGCATCAGCATTTTGCTTAGGAGTGAGAATGGGAAACAAAGCTCTGCAGGATCCTGGCTGCTTTGCTTCTGCCTGAAGAGCCCAGCGGTGCTTCCCAGGGCTTGGGGGAGAGATGGGAGCATTTTGGAGCCCTCTAAGCAGGATTGGGGAGGAAAAAAGCAGATCAGGCCTCTAGAGGGTCATATGGAGCCTGAGGAGGGCAGGTGGTTGGTATCACGGAGTTAATTCTTGTCTAATTAACAGCCTGTGAGATCTGCAGAGGACTGGTTTCAGCTGGTGCTCAGCCCTCCCTGGAAATGATGTTTTCCAAAATTTCTAGCATCTTCCTCAGAACTGTCTCTAGAGTTAAATCCTCCAGACAGCCTCTGGTTCCTAAATAAGGCATCGCAAGCGCAGCATCCTCTGCACCATCACATGAGCAGGAAAGTAGGGCAGGCACGGCGTGTCCCACACCCTCCCACCCACAGGAGGACGGCTGTTGGTGTGGGAATCCCTGGGTCCCATTCATCTCAGACCCACACGGATCACATTTTTGGATACACACACCTTGCTGCCAGCACTCTCACCGAGGGATCTCTGTAAGCTGGTGGGAGAGAAAGTCCAAAGCTTTGCCCTGCATGCATGGAGCATGAGCATCCCTGAGCTATTAAAAGCCATTGAAGGGAACAGCCCCATGCTGATGCCAGGCTGCTGTCTGCATTTGTTGTTTCCTGCTGATGCCCAAGAAACTGAGGCTGCTGAGGACTGACATGGGCTGTGTAATGTAGCCACAGGTCCCTCAGGGCTCTGGCAATGGATGGAGTTTGGGAAAGGCTTCAGGCTCCTGTGGCTGTGGGACGAGGTCTGGGCAAACCTCCCCCGTCAGGGATGGAGCCAACAGAGCAGGAGATGCAGGATTGCTCATCGCGTCCCATCCTAAGCTGTTGTCAAACATTTGTCTCTCTGGTAACTGGGGATGTGTGTTAGTAATGCTGCATTTAGACTGAGGAAATCACGAAGAAAACAAATGTTGGGCCCCAGTCCGGCCATTTGTAACACATCCCGCTCCTGACAGCCAAAAAAAGCTCTGGCCTTGAAATTTTTCTAGTGCGAAGATAAATGAAGGAGATTCATGTCTCTGTTGGTGCTACATTGTTTTGCTCAGCTGGCTGCAGAGCAAATAAGATACCGTGCTGCATTGATTTGTAGTCTGAGAGCTGTCCTAACAAACGGATGGGCTCAGGAAAACTTCATTTGTGACTTAAAGCAGAGGAGGCAGAGAGTCAGGGGGGAGCAGGGCTGGGATCCCCAGCTCTCGCCCTGTCCTTGGGGCATGCAGCAAAGGAGCTGTGTCCTCCAGCAATGGAAAAGTCCTGGCTTGGGGGGGGATGCCTGGTCCTATTTCTAGAAGGGAAGATGAGGAGGGCACTCATGGACTCTCCATCCCACCCCAGCAGCAGGGGCCCAATGCTTCCACACGAAGCCTCCGTGCCCTAGCAGCCAGTTTTACAGCACAATGCAAATGGGGAAGTATAAATAAACAAGCGCTCGCAAATAAGTGCGTGCCTTTAATGAATATTTCATACACAAAAGAAGTCATTGACATTTTGCTGGATTGCTTCAATTAGCTCTTAAGCCTCGTGTTCATGCAAATAATAAGCTTGCTTATCATAATGCTTTGTTAATCTGTTTCATAGTGTGAATTTATGCAGTAGCGTATCACACAGACCTCCTGCTGCATCCTTTATTGGATATAAATGACTTAGTAATTGCTATTGATCATTAAAGAAGTGCGATGTTATTTTGGAATTAGAAGGTGGGGGGGGCTCTGGCAGGCTGCTGGGGCTGGGCGGTTTGTGCAGATCTGGTTTATATTCACAAGGCTGACGGATGGGTCCTTGGGAGGAAAAGCCAAAATGCGCCAAGATTGAGTCTGGGGAAAAACACGACTGAAGTCACTGCTGGCTTCGCATCATGAAGCGCTCCAGGCTACGTATCCAGAATATACATCAGCACACTCCTTTTCACACATTGATCCCCATTCTGAGTCAGACTTTGCCAAGATTAGCCTGGAAAACACCAGGGCTGGCAGGGAGCAACAGCAGGACCCGAGGGATGGGAGCCCACCCTGCAGGCAGCCCTGCAGCCATCACAGCACACAGGTGGGCTGTCAGCCGATAGCAGCTTCTGACCCTGAACTGGGGGAGCAGGAAGGTCTGTGACTCCCCAGGGGCTGCCCAGGGGGAGCTTCCTTCCTTACTGCTGCTTACAGGTTGTCTCCTACCTTCAGAGCTTACAGCCTCACCAAGTTGAAATGAAAAATAAATCAATCAAGCCAAGCATTTGCCCTAAATTTATGTTTCTCATTTCAAGAAAAACTCTTTCCTGCATTGGAGTTTTTGCTTTTCTTCTGAAGCCTTTCCTCCGCCATCCCATTTGTTTGCACTGGAGAACCTCTCGCCTGTGCTCTCTGCTCCCACTCGGAGCCCCCACAGCCCCTGCGGGTCACCCAGCAGTGAGGATGGGGCACTGCAGCAAGGTTTGATGAACACATCCATCTGGAAAATAGTTGGGGGCATTACGTCTTTGCTGCCTCAAAGGAGTGCCCTGGGACTTGGTTAATTAACTTCTTGAAAAGGTTTTGAGATTCCTCCATGACACTGCCTTTATTAAAAGCCTATATACGCATTTTTCCCCTTCCAATTTACAACATTTCCCCCCGGAATGTGCTTTGATTTTTAAGCAATTTATAAGTCCTCAGGCTTCGCCTGGAAGGTAATTTATACCCGTTCCTGTTTTTATGTGTGTATACATGTGCTACAGCTCATCGGGAAGAAACAGAAAAAGCAATCAGCTTTGCAGAGGCTGCTATTGATGGAGGAGTGATTTGCAGGAGCTGGGAGCTCACTGTGTCCCAAAGGGCTTCAAACAAAGGAAATCCCAGGTGAGCTATGGGGGCATCGATGGCCTTCCCTGGGTTCAGCATGGGTCATCCAACCACAGTCCCTATGGGACGCAGAAAGAGCTGACAGCATCATGAAATGCTCCCAGAATCACCACGCTGCCCCCTGGGCCACGCTGATGTGATCTTTAATGCCGCAAAAGCAATTTGTTCCAGGGAGCTTTATTTATGCAAATGCTTGGCGATATTTCATGGCATTCCCATCTTCTGAGGCAGGGCTTTAATAAAGGCCAGGAGGTAATAGGGTCACACTGATGGGAGGAGAAACACTACATAGGATGCAACAGCCCTGCATCAATCCGTGCATGCTGGGGCTGTGACCCCAGTCCCAGCTGCTGGAACTGTTTGCATTTCCAAGGCTGCTCTTCAGATGTGTAACCATTCCCTTTTTATTTGTATTTTGGATCAAACTGCTGCAGACTGCTGCCAGACCCCCTCCTGTTGCAGTCTCCATACCCTGGGTGCCACGCTCATTTCCTTCTCACACAGCTACCCTTTTCTTCACCTATTGCAAGTCTTTGGATGCACTACAGCAGGAGAAGATGATGGGAGCTTAGGGAGTTCTGTTTCTGGGCTCGTGGGCTGCAGCAGCCCTTCTTCCATAGGAATTGGCAGAATTGATGCTGTGCCTATGTAATGCTATAGTGAGATAACTGTAGCAGGGCGGCAAAGCCTTTGGCTATAGCAAATGCAGCAGCCTTGGATATAAAAATGAAGAAAAAGAGCTGCTTACCTTCAGAAGGCTTCAGGTATGCAGGGATCTGCAGCAAGAGATACCCTCATCTCCACTGCTAACCCTTAAATGAGGTCTGGGCAGGGGTGGATCCTGGCTCCAGCCCTTCTGGTCACTCAGAGCATTGCATACACCTGAGCTCCCCTGAGTTGGCCCTGCCTTTCTACCAGGTGCTCGATTACTGTATCAGGCCATTATTTAACATTTTTGCTACAGCCTGTGACATAATCTCCTTTTTGTATTTATGGATAGATACGAAAGTTTTG